AGTTGGCATGGGATCGTGGATGTCGGCAGGTCTTGGCTGAGGTTGATAGTATGTGTGTGATCACGAGCATGGTTTCTGGCTCGGGTGACATCCATGGTACTCACGGGTCTCTGGTCCGGGCTATTCGGGAGCTATTGAGTAGAGACTGGCAAGTTCGGGTTGTTCACGTTCATCGAGAGACTAATTTTGCGACTAATTATATAGCCTCCCTCGCTGCTTCCTCTTCGTTGGGCCTGCAGTGTGTTCCCTCTCCTCCTTCTGGCTTGGGGTTTTGGATGGATCATGATCTTCTGGGAGTCTCCTATCCGAGACGCGTCTTAGTTTAGTCCCTATCTAAGCTTCTAGCTCTTCTTTTGTACCAAAAAAAAGAAATTAAATTAAATTTGAATTTTAATTAATTTGTATATTAATGAAATTATATCCAATCGCCCCCTAGGATTTCCAGCTAGTTTAATTAGCTACACTTCAAATGCATTGATCTCGCTAAATTATTCTGGCATCCAACTGTCTTAGTAATGTATAATAATATTCTATTTAAATGCTATAAATAAAGCTGTATATATTAAATAATATACATATTCGCCGCCCCCACCACCCAGCTTTGACAATACCAAGATAATTTCCGCATGAAGACAAAATTATTGATATAATCAGAAAATATGTGAAAAATCTGAAAATCATATTCTAATAAAAATCTAATAATTTAAACAAATTTATTCACAATAGTGATGTTTATCTAAAATGGTGGATACAATATTTCACAAAATGGGGAAATGATGGAATGATTTTAATGTACGTATAAAAGTCCATAGTAGACAACCAAAAATATAATTTACACATTTGTTTTTTTTTTTTTTCAATTGCATCAATATGCACGGTTTAATTAAATTTTAACATGTCTCTTATAAATTTACATCACATCAGTTGTAATTATTAAATTTTAACTATTATTTAAATACAAATTCAAAATCTCACTCTTTATTTAACATTAACTCACTTCAACCAATAAATTCAATCAAAATGGTTTCATATATATATATATATATATATATATATATATATATATGGATTGGTTCCAATACATCCGCTTTTTTAAAGTGAGGACGTGAGACCGCATCTCGTCCGTTCTTTCACCATCTAATCTAACGTCCCAGATTAATTCATTATATTAATAATTTTCCCGGGCGGTTCTTCATCTTCTCTTCCACTTTCGCACTTGCACTTTGTTTCTGTTGCATTTTCGCTCTTGCTCCTTGTTTCCATTCCATTCTCTTCAACTTTCGATTTCATTTTACTTTTCGTCTGGATTTCTGTTTCGGTTTTATCGTTCGTAGTCTATATCCTCGCAGATTCTCGTCTTAATCGGTGAGTATTTTTTTGCGTTTGTTTTTGTTCTGTTTTTCGATTTTAGGTTTTTTTTTTCAGTTGTTTTTAATCTGTTTTTCGATTTTTTTTCACTTTTTATTCTCGCAGATCCCTTGTCTCATTCCTTTTTATTATTTTGATCGGTGTTAGTTTTTTTTTTAATTCAATCCTTGTATAAAGTGTATCATCCGTATTTTCAGGTTTTATTTGTTTGTGTTTGAGGTGCAAGTTTATTGATGTTTAGTTGCAAAGTTAGTTGTCTATCGTTGTAGGTTTGTTGTCTATCGTTGGTAGGTTAGTTGTCTGTGTTGTTTTGTTATTTTTCTGATGCTGCTAGGTTAGTTATATATCTCTGCAAGTTTAGTTGTTTGTTAGTGCTAGGTTAGTTGTCTGTAACTGCTAGGACTGCTAGGATAGTTGTCTTTCAGTGCTAGGTTACATATCTCTGCTAGGTTACTTATATATCTCTTGTTTAGCTAGGTTAGTTATCTTATACTGCTAGGTTAGTTGTCTTTCAGTGCTAGGTTACATATCTCTGCTAGGTTAGTTATATATCTCTTTTTTTGCTAGTTTAGTTGTCTTATACTGCTAGGTTAGTTATCTGTAGCTGTATGATAGTTGTCTTCTACTGCTAGGTTTAGTTTTATCATGTTGCAATGCAAGGTTAGTTTTATTGCAATGATAGTTGTATATCTGTGCAATGTTAGTTGTATATATCTGCAAGGTTAGTTATATATCATTTTTTTTGCTAGGTTAGTTGTCTTATACTGTTAGGTTAGTTCTCTTTTTTTTTGCTAGGTTAGTTGTCTTATACTGCTAGGATAGTTCTCTTATTTTGCTAGGTTAGTTGTCTGTAACTGCTAGTATAGTTGTCTTTCAGTGTTAGGTTGCATATCTCTGCTAGGTTAGTTTTCTTTTTTTTTGCTAGGTTAGTTGTCTTATACTGCTAGGTTAGTTCTCTTTTATTGCTAGGTTAGTTTTCTTATACTGCTAGGATAGTTGTCTTATACTGCTAGGATAGTTCTC